ATTCGCTCAGATCACAGAGGAAGGGTGCACCTGTCCCACGCCAGTGCTAGTAGATCCAGACTGAAGTGCCCTGTGGGCTTCTTCAATTTGTCGTGCTGGCTATTCGAAGCTGTATAAGACGCGACCTTCCCTGTGACGAGCTGCCCCTGCTCCAATTCGCTCAGATCACAGAGGAAGGGTGCACCTGTCCCACGCCAGTGCTAGTAGATCCAGACTGAAGTGTCTTGTGGGCCTGTTCAATTTGTCGTGCTGGCTATTCGAAGCTGTATAAGACACGACCCTCCTTGTAATGAGGTCTCCTTGCCCGACAGTGCTATATAAGACGCGGCCTCTCCAAAAGTAGTGTATGAATTTGGGGGGTGTAGCGGTAATTTTGGGGCGAGCTCTAAAATTTGGGGGCCGATCTCTAAAAATTTGGGGGGAACCCCTCTAAGGCGCGGGAATTTCGCGCTACGTACAATTAATAGCACTATTAATAGCTTGAAATATCTGCGCTGCCGGGTTTCCGGGTGACCCGCAGACAGTTGCGGGTCATTTTTCGCCCGCTCACCCGCATGAACCCGGCAACACCGGCGGGGGAGCCGGGTTTGTGACTCTGACCCGGCCCGGCCCGGCTCGCTCCGGGGCCGGGCCGGGGCGAACCGGGTAGCCGGGGCCGGGCACAGGTGCCCATGTCTAACCGGGAAGGAGACTGAACCCAAGGACTGAATAAATATTTGGAAATCCGTTGTCATTTACGCTGAAGAATGTTCATGACGGAATATTCTGATGACAGATGTCTGGACCACCAAGTGTACCCCATGACAGATAAAGGGTGCTTTAGATCACTCTTAGAAGATGAAATGGAGAAAAGTGACTCATAACGATGTTCGTAAACGACAAGAAAACCATTCGAAGCAGACTTAATGACACTCATGATATCATTCTCATCTTTCGATAGTCATTACTTTGAACAGTTAAGGAGATTGAACGAGGGTACCTGACTCAACGACGACCCAAATCTAAAACTCTCAAGGGGCTTCAGTAGCCTCGGATGCCATCCGACGGATGGAATCAACGGCAATATGGGTTGCATTGAGTGCGTCTAGTTCCCCGATGTCGGGTAGATTGAACTGATTGGGTACACCAATTTTCCTAGATGCAACAATAGCATTGGTGATGTCCTCACCCACTAGACCAAGTGTAGCGAGTAAGGCGGCGACACCGGCAACTGTGGGGGTCGCCATCGATGTGCCACTCTTATAACCATAAGTGTCAACAGGAATCGTCGAGTAGATGTTTACACCAGGAGCGGCA